ACAAGCCTGGAAAAGCTCCCCCAGGAGGTGTCGAGGAGCATCCTTACCTGAACTGATGCTTGAACCACCTCAACTGGCTCCACTCGACGTGGAGGAGCAGTGGTTCCACTTCAAGTTTCTCCTGGATGCACGTGCTGCACGTTTATGCATCAGGTCAACAGTAAATCACCTCAATAAGTTAAGAAAAGGTTTCCTCTTTAACAGTTGTGTCTGAATCTTTTTTATATCCGATCTTAAATTATTTACTTTGATATATCTTAGCTTTATGTTTTTCATCCATCCATCCATTATCTTTACCCGCTTCTTCCATTTTGGGTCACGGGGGTCACTGGAGCCCATGTACAGCAATCACTGTACGAGAGGTGGGGGACACCCTGGACAAGTCTCCAGTCCATCACAGGGACACAGAGACAAACAACCATTCACTCTCTCACTCACACCTAGAGACAATTTAGAGTTACCAATCAGCCTAACATGCATGTTTTTGGTCTGTGGGAGGAAACCGGAGCACCCGGAGAAAACCCACGCATGCACGGAGAGAACATGCAAACTCCACCTAGAAAGTTGCTGGAGCACAGGATGCTCTCCACTGCACACTTGTAGAAGGAGGTGAGGACTGAGCTTCCCAGTCCAGCTAGTCTCAACTGCCTGAGGAAGGAAAGTTGCTGATGTCCAGTTACAGATTCAGATTGTATTTCATTCATTTAGGTAGTAAATATGAAATAGTGACATTTAAAAATAAATAAATCTTCACTTTGATTCAGTCCAACGTCCTAAACCTGCACAGAGCAGCAGGTGAAGCATGGAGAGGAGAAACTCCCAACAAAGTCAACAGAATCTGCAGTCAAATTTACTTCACACTTTAATAAATTGAATATTGTAATGACAAATCAAGAGTACTGATCATTTAAAATGTTTGTTTTCTGGTCAAATGCAATTAATACATTCTTAAGAGCTGATACACAAACCGTCTGATAATAAGCATACAAGAACCAACTTGTCAGCACCTCATATGGAACATTAACACAAAGAATTACACAATAAAGTTGTTATTGTTGTGTTGCACCAGAGGGACGTCTGATAACACATGAATCCACAGGTGAACACCCGTCAAAGGTGTTACAACAACACATGATGCAACCATTTTCCTTATTAGAAATCCCGTTTCGTAAAAGTAAAGACTCAATAAAACTTGTACAATCATAAAAAAAATAGTAAAAAGGAGATATCTGTTAAATTTCGCTTGCTGTTGTTTCACAGATTGTGACAAAGTTTTGTGAAAGCGTGAAAACTGGTGCAAACACGCGTGCAGAGATTAGAAATTCTTAAAAAGTCTGGCAACAATTAAATCTCTAAATTAAATCTTAGATCTTATTACTGTTTTTCTTTACAATTTATACTTTTGTTGGATGTAACTGGGACCCTGTGTACATCATTTTGTTCCATCCCTTGTACCACGTGATGAGAATGACAATAAAGAAAACTTGACCTTGAAACTATTGTAAATCATCCAAATCTATCAAATGAACACATCTACATTAATAATATTTTACAAATATGCTGTTAAACCCTGACCAGCACTCTTTAACTCTCAGATGATGGAGTATTTTGCAGTCATCTCAACCCTGGATGGTCATTTTCATCTTCGGCTCTCAGAACCAAATGTCTACATACAGTCCTGCTCACCACTATCGGCACCACATAAAATTCTGCACAAATATACAGCATCGTAAAATGGACAAATGTCACATTTTTAACATAACCTTTTCTTTAATTGGAGCGCCAAAGTCTTCCTTTTCTTTGGGCTGTTGCCTCAGTGAGTCATCCTCCTCCTCCATCTCACTCTGTCCTCACTCCAACTACCTCCATGTCCTCTCTAACTGCATCCATATATCTCCTCTTTGTCTTTTTCCTTGCAGCTGCATTTCTAACATCCTTCTACCAATATATCCACTGTCCCTCCTCTGGACATGTCCAAAACCATCTTAGTCTGGCCTCTCTAACTTTATCCCCCAGTTGTTCAACCTGTGCTGTACCTCTGATGATATCATTCCTGATCTTATCCATCCTTGTCACTCCTAAGGAGAACCTCAACATCTTCATTTCTGCCACTTCCAGTTCTTTCTCCTGTCTTTTTGTCAATGTCTCTGTCTCCAGACCATACAATATAGCTGGTCTCACCACTGTCTTGTAAACTTTTCCTTTGATCTTTGCTGACACCCTTTTGTCGCAAATCATTCCTGAAACTTTTCTCCATCCACTCCGTCCTGCCTGGACTCTGTTCTTCACCTCTTTACGACATTCCCCATTTTCCTGGGCAGTGGACCCCAAGAACTGGAAGTCCTGCACCTTTGTGACTGTTCCACCAGCCTCCCTCTCATGCACACACATGTACTCTGTCTTACTACAACTGAATTTCATTCCTCTTCTTTCAAGTGCATACCTCTACCTCTCCAAGTTCTCTTCCATCTGTTCCTTTTTATCACCTTCATACTGGGCTTCTCTTGACTTCCCCATTTCATAACTCCTGTGATACAGTCAAGGCCTCCAGTGCCTGATCCAGCAAAGCAGCCCCAAAGCATTATGGATCCACTACCATGCATAAACGTGGGTACGGTGTTCTTTTTCTTTGTAGCATCGCCCATAAAGCTCGGCTTGGTTTAGCGTGAGGCATACTGTATGCTACTTGTAGAATCCATGATCCTAAAATGATCCAGGACGGCCTTCAGGTCTTTAAATGTTGAACATGTTTTTTTTGTTTATTTCCATCATTTGTACCAACCTTTTGAAACATCTCTCATCCAAAACACAACCAAAGAGGTTCTTCACAGCTCTATGATTGGCTAAACTTCTTAATAACATTGCACACTGTTGAAACAGGGATACCAAAGTTCTTGAAGGCCTTATACCCTTTGGAAGTCTTGTTTGCTATAACCCTTCTGATGTTCTCAGACAGTTCCTTTGTCTTCACTATTGTAAAGATGAAAGAAGAAATAACTTGTGGCTTTTTAGAACACTTAAGTCCTCATATATTGGCCAGTTCAAGTCACATGGGCATTTTCTATTTATTACAGATCATTCTGATTTTTAATTTAACACAGGTGAGTGTGTTCACTCACCTCACTCACTTCATTCTGAAAATAATGAAGGGAAAGGCAGTAGGACCTGATGACATACCAGTGGAGGTTTGGAAATGTCTTGGAGAGATGGCAGTGATGTTTTTAACTCAAATATTCAATGGCATATTTGAGGGTGAGAAAATGCCTCAGGAATGGAGAAGAAGTGTGCTGGTGCCCATTTTTAAAAACACGAGTGATGTACAGAGTTGTAGCAACTACAGGGGAATTAAGTTGATGATCAACACAATGAAGATCTGGGAGAGAGTTGTGGAAGTAAGACTTAGACGAGAAGTGACTGTGAGCAGCAGTATGGTTTCATGCCAAGAAAGAGCAACACAGATGCCATCTTCGCTTTGAGGATGATGATGGAGAAGTACAGAGAGGGTCAGAAAGAACTCCATTGTGTCTTTGTGGATTTAGAAAAAGCATATGACAGAGTGCTGAGGGAGGAGGTGTGGTATTGCATGAGGATATCTGGAGTGGCAGAAAAGTATGTTAGACTGGTACAGGACATGTATGAGGACAGCAGGACAGTGGTGAGATGTGCTGTAGGAGTGACAGATAGCTTCAAGGTGGAGGTGGGAGTGCATCAAGGATCGGCTCTGAGCCTCTTCTTGTTTGCTCTGGTGATGGACCGACTAACAGATGAGGTCAGGCAAGAATCCCCGTGGACTATGAAGTTTGCAGATGACGTGATCTGTGGTGAGAACAGGAAACAGGTGGAAGAGAACTTGGAGAGGTGGAGGTACGCACTTCAAAGAAGAGGAATGAAAGTCAGTCATAGTAAGACAAAGTACATGTGTGTGAATGAGAGGGAGGCCGGTGGAACAGTGAGGCTACAAGGAGCAGAGGTCACAAAGGTGCAGGACTTCAAGGACTTGGAGTCTACTGTCCAGGAAAATAGGGAATGTGGTAAAGAAGTGAAGAAGAGAGTCCAGGCAGGACGAAGTGGATGGGAAAAAGTTTCAGGAGTGATTTGTGTTAAAAGGGTGTCAACAAATATCAAAGGAATGTCCAGAGGAGGGACAGTGGGTATACTGGTAGAAGAATGTTAGAAATGCAGCTTCCAGGAAAAAGACAAAGAGGAAAATATATGGATGCAGTTAGAGATGGAGGTAGTTGGAGTGAGTAGAGTGAGATGGAGGAGGATGACTCGCTGTGGTGACCCCTGAAGAAGGAAAAGCCAAAAGAAGTCCGATCATTCTGATTTTTAATTTAACACAAGTGAGTCAAAATGTGTTTCCAGACTAATTTACCTTGTTCTGTGCCAATAACTGCCACAGCAGACTTTAGTTGTTGTTTATTTTCTACTCCTGTTGTTTATGATTTTTTTTCTTTAATCATTCGCTCTTTTGCATCAAACACAAGTTATCTATAGAAAAAAGATGGTTCACTTGATCCATTTTTTAAGGCTTCCATCATGTATCTTAATCTCATGGGTGCCAACAATGAAAAGCAGGACGACATAAATCTTTTATTTTATTTTTTTAACAAGCTGAAAAATGGCCTCTTTTGACCATAGAACACATTTCAGCTGCACATCTGAGATAAGCTTGTCCCCAGAGAACTTGGCAACATTTTTGCAGAGCTGATTGACAGCGTCATTTGTTTATAAAATCAAAGCCATCCATGTTTAGAGACAGCAAGACTCAAACCTTGCGTCATACTAAAGTGTAGTAAAAGAGGTTTGGGAATAAGGAGACATGTAAAAAGCAAAAACAATGAGGTAAAGGAGGGGGGGATGCAAAAAAAATAAATAAAGAGACTAAACATGAAAGGTGAAACAGGAGGGAGGAGAGTTTCAAACGCAGCAGAGGAGCTCAGTGAAGCTGTGATCAATGTCTTGTAGTTAAATGAAGTCAGGTCTTCTCGTTATAGAAGATGGACCTGGACAGAGCTGAACTCTGCTTCCCTCAGCTCCTGAACCTGTCCTGCAGAGGACTGACGCGTCCTCCCTCTGAGGCCATCCTCCTCTACACGCTGCTCTACTCCATCTCTGTGGTCACCGTTGCTCTGAACCTGCTGGTGGTCATCTCCATTTCTTACTTCAAAAAGCTCCAGACCCCCACCAACACGCTGCTGCTCTCCCTGGCCATCTCAGACCTCCTGGTGGGGCTGCTGGTGATGCCGGTGGAAACGATACGATTCATAGAGCCCTGCTGGCTGCTGGGCGACCTCATGTGCGCTCTGTCTTACATCATCGGCTTCACCCTCACCTCCGCCTCTGTGGGGAACATGGTGCTCATATCCATCGATCGTTACGTGGCCATTTGTTTTCCTCTGCAGTACCCCACTCAAGTCACCCACAGTCGAATTCAGGCGTCTGTCAGTCTGTGCTGGTTCTGCTCACTTCTCTACAACGGGCTCATCCTGAAGGAGCATCTTAGGCAGCCAGACAGGTACAACTCCTGCTACGGGGAGTGCTTGGTGGTGATCAGCTACATCTCTGGAACCGTTGACCTTGTGATCACCTTCATTGCTCCTTGCTCGGTGATCGTCGTCCTGTACGTTCGAGTGTTTGTCGTGGCAGTGTCTCAGGCTCGGGCCATGCAGTCTCACATCACGTCCGCTGCAGTCGCCTCAGTCAAAGTCACTGCGCAGAAGTCGGAGAAAAAAGCAGCCAGGACTCTTGGTGTTGTGATTTTAGTGTTCTTGTTGACTTTCTGTCCATATTACTATCCGTCTCTTGCAGGACACGACATCTCCAACGGCGCTTCATCTTGGGCCATCGTGTCCTGGATGCTGTATTTCAATTCTTGTTTGAACCCACTCATATATGCTTTTTTCTACCCGTGGTTTAGAAAAACGATGTATTTAATCGTCAGCCTGAAGATCCTGGAGCACGACCCCTTTCAGGCAAACATATTTTAAAATGAGCAAACGAATGAAGCTGTGGTGGTTCTGGCAGCACATGCTCCACAATGTTTATTTGTAACATACAGCATGCTATTTTAATAACTTGTGCCTAATCTTATTTTAACTGATGTAAAATCAATAAACGTTTTCATTTTCAAGGAAAAAAGTACTTTTACTGTCTTTTGAAAAACTGAAATACTCTTTAATTAAAGTTTGCTCTTATTTCTTTTATTAAACGCATTATATGCATTTTCCTAAATGTATATATTTTATGTGCCTTTATGTAATAAGCTTTCCAATAATCTTTTTCAAAATATTTCTAAAATAATAATGGAGTATTTATTGTATTTGTGTATTTAGAGTTAATTATTTAGTCCATTTAAAACCGTATGTGTTTCATCGTTATGTTAAATATTTAAAGCAACATTCTTCTAAGAATCTAGAACTGATCTTTCCGCTTTGTGCTTTTAGATTAAAGACACACTAATAAAATCAAAACTTTATTTGTGGAAAAGGTAGGAAATACATATTTACATTTTTTTAAAGACGTTTGCAATAAAAACAGAACAATTTTGACAAACAAAAACAAAAACTGCTGCAGTTACTTCTTGGATTGAGAACGAAGTCCTCTAACTTCTGCAAAAATTAAAAAGAATAAATAAATAAATACATAAAGACCACGAGACAGCTTCCGTAGAAATTAATACATTTTACTGTGAGATCTGACATTTATTTCATTTCTTTAATACAAAATCTACAAAGTAAAGGGTTATTCACTGAATATAAGGTGAAAAACATTTTTAGTGTAATGTTCTGAATGCACAAACATCATGTATAAAGAACCAATAAATACCAGGGATTTCATGTGGCCAGAAGTCCTCACAAGCTGGACACTGTGGCTCCGATTTCCCTTTAAAGTATCTGGCCACACACGGGTTGTGTATTTTTATCCCACAATTTGGATTCTCACAAATTTGGCACTTCAGGAAAAAATTTAATAAAATAAATAAGATTGTGACATTATTAATGGCAAAAACAAAATAATCTAAAATAATTCTTAAAGTTCAGCAGCAAACAGAAAATCTGTCAAATACTTTTAAATGTAAAAATAAAATCTCAGTGGCATTTTACTTTGTAGAACTCATTAATTTAAGTTAATTCCTGAATTCTTTAGGTTGTACAACTACTTTTACCTGAAAGGCGACATTGTGGCAGATGTGGCACATCTTGACTTGGTCTTGATACATCGTGCGGATATACGAGTCCATCTCTATGATGCATCGGGTGGACAGAGAGTACTCGCCGCGTTTCTGAGTTTAGAAACAGCACTGGATTATACCACATGCACTTTGTGGCAGAGAGAGAGGTTAGATAACTCAGGAGGGAAACTGGTTTTTATATCAGCTTAAGTCAAACATTTGATTTAATTCAAACTGTTTGGAAAATAAATTTTGACCATGTTACCGCTGCGTTAAACTGTTTAGTTTCTTCACAACATGAATCGCAAAGACATGATTTAGAGACAAAAGTGTTTAACAAATCTACACTCAAGCTAATTTATGACAGTAAATTTTAAGCTTTATTATCAGTTTAACTTTCTAAGCCAAAGTAAAAAACGTCACTTCTCATTCAGCAGAGGTTTATAACTATTTACATGTGATGAAACATCAAGTTTGGTGTAAACTGAACTTTTATCCATTGTAACATTTAGATAAGTTTAATAAACACACGTCTTAATTGTCAGTTTTTCTGCATTTAACAAAAAATGTACGCAACTATTTATAAATGATTTCTTCTATAGATGGTTTGGAATATATAAGCATCACAAGTAAGACAAAGGCTTGCATAAATAACCAGAAATTAATCTTACTGAGCAACTCAGTTGTTTACTAGCAAGAACTGCATGAATTTTCATGTATCTTCTGCAGAAATCAGTTGTTAATGAGTTATTATAATGAACAAAACTGGTTAATCAAACGAGCTGAACCTCAGCAGGTCAAAGAATGCAAGTCCAAGTTTTGAAACTGTGCTGACGACCATTTCTCTCTTCATACAAGGGGACGTGCTCTGTATGAAGGAAGCACACCTGTGACAACATGACACTTAAAGCTGCTGAAACTAGATTTCTAAGAAATTATTCTAAGAAGTAATGATTATTAAAAAGCTTGTAGTAAGAGCGTATTGGGGCAAACTTTAGAACCTGCCTCCTGGGAATAAAATGAAATGAAATACAGTAGTCCCTCGCTACTCATAAGGTTCGATTTTCGCGGACTGGCTATATCGCAGTTCGTCAACACACATTAACATAGAAAAGAAATAAATTGTACACGACACGTGGTTGTCAACTTTCATATTACTCACATGACTGGCACAGTACAGGATACAGTACTGCACAGTAAAAAGTTAAGAAAAAAATAAAATACTTCGGACAGGCGTCGCCATTTGTAGTTTTCTCTCAACAAGTCTACACTGTATTCCTGCTCATAATGACTACATTTCCCAGAAGCCAACAGGGCCCCGCCCAGAAGCCCCGTTTCCTTGTGCTGAAAAACTAAGAGGGAATGTTTGTATAAGACAGGAAAAAGTTTGTTGCTTATTACAGTAACTTATTAACTTCAGCGCCCAGCGGATGCAGAAAGCCACAGGAACTCACCGAACTGGACCAGAACTGGAGCAGAACCAGACCTTCAGACCCATCGGTGAATCTTGAGAGCTGGTAGCCGGCTCACGTGGACTTCCAAGTGGGGACGTGCCGGTAAGCAAAATTTAGTATCTACTAGGGCTGGGCCATATCATATCGTTCACGATAATACTGGTAAAATAAACTTGCCCGGGAAAATAAATTACATCATGATATGCTGATTTCATGGCGTAAACATGTCAGTGTTTCCTACCATTATACAAGCGGGGCACCCCACCCTGTTCACAGAACCGAGCACGCCGAACAACCGAACCGAACTGCGCAACGCACCTCCCCCCCACCTGTCAGTACTGGTGGCGTAATGCTAAGCTAGCCGCGCGCAATACTAGCTAGCTAAAAAACTAAAAACGGTCATTGCGCAGCTCAGTTGTCTCTTGAGTTCCACAGTCCATGGAGCAAGAACAGAGTCAGGTGATCAGAGACAGAGCATCAGAGAAATGAATCATTCGTGCAGGAACAGAGGAAACACCACAAGCTCCAGGGTCAGCTGATCACCTTGTTACACGTTCTGGAAGTTACAGCTCATTTAAAGACAACATGTATTTTGTTGCATGTTACAGTTAGGCTAAACAGATCTTAAGATTCATTTTATTTTGTTATTTTGGGAAACTTCACCTGTACTTTAGTTTGTGTGGCAGATTTGGTTGATCTATATTTTGTGCAGACTTTTTCAGTCTAAATAACAGAAGGATCATTTTTATTTTTAGACTTTGAGACTGAATACTTTACTAAATAAAGTAATTTCAGTCAAATGAACCCTTGTCGTTTTTATAGAATACTGCAAAGCAACATGTTGGGTTAATTTTATCAAATGAAAAACTATGATTTCTGGTTTTTTTGTGTTATATCACAAAATGTATCGTTATCGTCAAAATGCTCTGAAATATCACGATATTATATTTGAGTCATATCACTCACCCCTAGTAGCTACATATAAGCATGTTGTTAAAACGACGTAGGTTTAAGAGTTTAGAACATTGCAAGAGTGTGGGAAGGGTTTATAAAGCCTTAAAAAATATATATATACTAAAATAACCATAACGTCGCTACTTCTCAGATTTTCCCTTATTGTGGGGGGGTTTGGAACCTAACACCCGCAATAAACGTGGGACTACTGTATGGGTTTTGACTTTAGGTTGCGAGCTCCATGTGCTGGCTCAAAGATGTCAAAGATGTGTCTAAGCCGCCCCTTCAGTCAAGTGTTTTGGTAAAGTTTTGGTGTAGCAACAGAATTTTACCTCACAAAGCCATTTGTCTTGCACCAGTCGAGTTAAAAGGTGCTCCGTTTCACTCTTCTTCAGCTTTTTAGATGTCATGGTGTCGGTGCTGTTCAGAATGTCGGTGGAGGAGGCCGAGCCTTTCTCAGAGCCCACGACTAGATCAATCTGAATTTAAACAGATTCACAGCCATCTTTAGTGTTTAAAAATATAGCTGGAGACGCTCAACACCAACAGGTCCAGCAACCAAGTATTACATCACGTTTATAAAAACTGGTCTGTAATCTCTTAGCAATTATTCATGTTTTAGAACAATCTTTAAAAAGATGAGCCAAAGCTGTAAAAACTGTAAGATGAACTCACTGTTTTTCTAAACAACTCCAGTTCGTTATCCGTGTAATCTGAAGTCATCCTGGAGATATCCGTTTCAGCTGTGTTCACCTGAATCAGACAATGAAACACGAGAAAGACGTTCTTACAACCTTCACAGGGTTTCCACCGGAGAAAACCGCCCGGCGCTGCAGGCGTCTTTGCAGGGAAAGACACTCACCAGAGCATAGCACTGGTGACCGTTCTCCTCAGACATCCCTTTTCTAATCTGCATGAACATGGGCTGCAGCTGCAAATTGATGGTCTCGATGAATTCGTCCAGTTTGTCAGCAGCACATTGCACTGCAAGGGCAAAAAAACAAAAAAACATGTATGTTTAAAAATCCAGAATAAATGTACCAGCGCTAACTTAAGGCACTTTGCATACACAAAGTTAAACATCATCAGCTCATCGTTGTTTTGTTTTTTAATGTTTTGCTGCTCGTTAGAGGAGCTGGAAAGTGCATAGTTCCAGGCCTTTAAAGTCACAAGTTCAAGATCCTGGAAGTCAACTTTTCAAATGTGTAAAAAACAGAAGCAGTAAAGTGGAAAAAAAGAGTCCAGTTGCTCTTTTTCATAAAACCCTTAGCCTTTAAAGTTTAGACAAATACTTGCTCATTTTATTCTTCTGAGTTGAGGCAAAGCTAACTGTTATTCAAGAATCACAACTTACTGTCCTCAATTTGACTACGTTACACCAGTAAATGTTCGTCAGCGCAGAGAAGTTACCCACTCTTATATGTTTCACAACAGTGCTGATAAAGTGCCTTTGCTTCAAGCTCATCAACGATGCCAACCCCCATCATGGTTTGCAGGAACCTCCGATGGCTGTCGCCCAGCTGTCGTGACATGTCTGCGGACAAACAGTCCTTTAATTTATTACAAATACTAAAACTGTTCACAATAGGGATCACCCCTAAACCAAAAACTCCACGGTCATAAAACATTCCCAGAGACGAGTTCTTGAAAACAGCAAGGAGGAAAAAGTGAGCTCAGACGTGAGTCATTTCAGTTTCCTCAGGAAAACTCTGCAATGTGTGTTTTTAGGTTTGTGGGGTCATTTTCAGCAAACGTATACTTAAATAGTCACAGTCCACGCTGACCATATGAGATGAGCTTTTCTACTTCTGTTAAAAATTCAAAGTAATGTTAAATAAACACTTATCAACCACTATTACAGTAATCCCATGTTCAAACTCAAAGCACTACGGGTTCTTCTGCATCTGCAGTTCTGCTCTCCTGATAAAACCTACACCTACAGGGTGTTGGGGGGGGGGGGGGGTGTCATCATGGCATCAGTGGCAAGAAGACTGATGTGATGCTTGTTGCAGCAACCCAGTAAACTTGAAAAGCACAGAAAATTACATTTTACTCTGACTGCAATGATAAAAGCACAGATTTGATCAACGGGTGATGTCGAGTACAAATGATTGTCATTAATTTTCTATCGTGCTGAAAGAACAATACATTATGCATTATAAAGACACAATCTATACACAGTTGTTTGGTATTTTAGCTCGTCGCCTTCCTATTTTTGAAAAATCACAACTATCAAATCGTTTACATAAAATTAAATACTATTTGATTTCTTTAATTGTGATAAATAAAAACTATATTTTAAGAAATAGTCAAAATAGGTTTAGAACAAATAATTCAACATCAATGGTTCTCATGGAACTAATAGAAGAGATAACTGCTGTTGATCAATAACAGTATTGTGTTAGTGTTTTTGTTGACCTTTGACACTACTGACCACATTCTCCTTGAAAAAGTGAATAAATATGGCATTAGAGGATTAGCACTACAGTGGGTATCCAGTTATTTGAATAATAGGAGACAGTTTGTACAGGTAAACAATGTAAGATCTGAATTTTGTATTAATGGATGTGGAGTCCCCCAAGGCTCTGTGTTGGGACCAAAGTTGTTTATTTTGTATGTGAATGATCTGGTTGATGTGTCAGAGCTTTTGAAGTGTGTTTTATTTGCAGATGAGACCACACTTTTTTTGTTTGGGTGAAGATACTGATGTTAGAAATAATACAGGCAGAATTTGTTAAAAACACAAACTTGGTTATGTTATCATTAAATTTAGAAAAAAACAAACTACATTATATTTAGTAATAGAAAGAAAATGATTGAAATCCCATTTAAAATTGACAGTACTGAAATTCATAGAGTTAATGAAATAAAATTTTTGTGTGTCGTTATTGATGAGAAGCTGACATGGAATCTCATGTAAATTACTTAAGAATAAAAATATAAAAATCAATTGCATTACTGTATAAAGTAAAAGAGTTTTTGAATGACAAAACTTTGTATATATTGTATAATGTAATGATTGTTCCATATTTAATCTATTGTATTGAAGTTTGGGCAAAAGTATGCAAAACAATTGCAACTCCTATTTTTATTTTACAAAAAAAAAAAAAAAAGAGCTATAAGAATTATCAGTAGGAAGTGCTATGGTCACCCAACTAACATATTATTTCATCAGTTGAAATTATTAAAATTTTATGATTTGGTTGAATATAGTATTTTACAAGTCATGTATAAAGCTCATAAAAAAATATTACCCCCAAATATTCAATTAAATTTTGTTAAAAAAAGAGTCGTTATAACCTGAAGGGAATGGAAATGTTTGTAAAACCTCCATGAAGAACTAGTGTGAAGGAGCTGCGTTGTAGTTCAGGGAATAGGATTGTGGAACTGCCTCGATATCACCTTAAAAATTTATAAAACAATTTATATGTTTAAAAAGATGATTAAGTTAAAATTGGTAGGAAAGTATGATACAATGTGAAGAATGCCTCATGGTTTTTGTTTTCGCTTTGGGGATTGTTCAAGCCTGAGTTGTTTTTTTTATATTTTTTAAATAAGGGGAAGATATTACAAGAATTTTCTTCTTTCTGCACCAAAAAAAAAAAAAAAAAAAAAGAGACTGCATAACATTGCAGTGCTGACATGGCTTTTTGTGAAAATGTCTATAAATGCCACTAAAAGAAGTACACAGATAGGTTTATGTTATGAATCAAAATACACCCAATATTCAGAGCTTATGGTTAGTGCTGCAACAGGGTTGCAATTTTACTCCTGACTTGTTTTTATGATTTTTTTAATGAAGGCCATGTTTTTTCACAAGAGATATTGATTTAGCATAAACTGATTAAATGTGTTTTTAATTGACCCTTTAACACATGGTTCTTTCTATTATTAAGTCCAGTTAAAATGTCTTTTTTTAGACGTTTCTGCAACGGTTTTAATAATTTTCTTTAAAAACACCAATAAACTAAGTGAAAGCTAAAGCTGTGGACCGTTTCTGATGTTTTAATCGTCTTTGCTGCCATGCATGATAAAAACAAAACATTACACGTTAGTTAACCCTTAGTATCTGTGAACAGTTTTATCTGAGGAACAGACGAACTTTGATTATCGAGTGAAATATTAATTTACCAGCTTTTCTTTCCCTCCCTGTGAGCGTCGTCTTCCGTTGTTCTTCTTCTTGAACGATGGGCAGTTGATGTTGTGCGACAGCGCCGCCAGCTGGAGGGGAGGAACATGCGCATGCGCAGTCATTTACAAAAAAAAAAAAAAAAAGCTTTTATTTGAAAATATTTTTGACTCTCTCCCCATAATTTACCATTTTTAAATAATATATATTGTGCATTTTATCCTGTTTAATGTTTTCAGGGATATAAAACTATTTCCTATGTGGTTCTTTCTGGTAACTGTAGGATTGAGTTTCGAGTGTAAATGTTTTGCGTCTTTCTGTATTGACCATGTCGTCAACCTGCAATCTGTCCAACCTTTTCAAACTGTGACAGGATGAAATCTAAAACCAACAAGAGATTGTATCCGTCACTTGTAGGAGACAATGAGAACCTGTGCTTTAAAAGCAGCTCTATTGTACAAACAGGTTCTTATAGCAAATAATTTATAGCTTACACTGAGATACGACTGTGGGCACACACTAAAGGCTAAACCACATTAACTACGGCTGAGGGTTGTATAAAATGCAATGTTAAAAGAACACCACCAAGACTTATTCTGAAAGGCTTTATTAGTCTAGCAAATTGAATAAGAACATATGATACAAGGTGTCAAGAGTCTGATTATAATATAGCCTATTATTAACATTTAAATACAGTATTCAATGCCACTAAGCTTTACTGCGGCATTTAACCTACCTAATACTTTTCATTATCCCGTTTCCTTTGAGGCTTTTTAATCACCAAATTCAAAATGTATCAGGAAACAGTTGAAGTGTCATTGCTGTGCATCCGATAAAACTGGTGGTCAGTGTGTTTGCATCAGCGTAAATAAATTACGAACTTTTAAAAGAACTGTGTCTAAATAATTCACACGGATAAGAGTATTCTGATTTGACATGACTAATGATGATGTAAGATGTCCACTAAAGATGAGACAACTTAAAACACAACTCTCTGCTATCTGGTTTACTGTGATTTTAACAGTCTATTAAATATATAGTAGATAAATTGTTGCTTTTTATTTCCATCACTTTTAGTCAACTTAATTTATTTATGTTTAGGCAAACACACTGAAAGACTGCATTTAAGTGTAAATCTAACAAAAAAACAACTTTTCTTTGTAAAAAGCTGTTTTAATTCAAAGAGCTCGAGGCAAACGTCTCCTGTCAGCACTAAACTGCTGAAATTCTTCATTTCTAAAACCCAAATTGTAACCATGAATTCCTTAAGACGAATTATCGCATCGTTTCGACACTTTGCCATGTGATCCATGCGAGTGTGAAAAACCTTCTTTCTAAAGACAAACAGACTAAATCATGTGCGATCGTTGCACAGGATCTTTGTAGAGTAGAAAAGGAGGCCTCGGAGGACTGGAAAATGATATCAGAAAGGAACAGTGCAAACACCAACTGGTTTTCCCCATCCTAATGCTACCTTAAAGACATGCATGTCTGGTGATGGGGTGCTAAGCATTTGCACTTTCTTCAAAATGTGTTTGCACGAAACAGTCTGGTCAGTGCAGGTGTTTTATGAGAAGTGGCAGAAATCCCAGGATAAAGCTAAACTTTTCATCTTCGCTCTCGAATCCAAACACAAAGCTCAAGGAGAATTATCCACAATGTGTTCGATTAGTAACGGGACTGGGTTTTCCTATTCTCCCACTTTTGGCCTCGTATAATGAAATTTGATTTTTTTTTTAATCCCACTTTGCCGTCACCATCTTGCCGTTTCTTCAAAGTGCCCGTCGTTGACTCTGTGTGCTTTCAACTCCTGTAAAGTCTTTTATCAGTTGGCAGCAGTTTGCTGAAAAACACCAAACCTGAGGACACAAAAATGCGACATGAAAAGTTTTATTTAACCGATGACAGAACAAATGAGGAAAAACATGGAAGTAATTTAGCAGGCTTGTATTTTTCTTGGCTTTACCCCGTGTTTTAGTGGCTGGGAGGAAACTGTCCATGTGTGTTTATAGACTGTTGTAACTTCTCCTCTTTGGCCCTTCTGCTGTGGCAAACCTTCAAAGTAGAATCAAACATTTACACACCCTGAACTTTCTAACTAAATATATCGTTCTGAAAATATTCCAAGCTCACTAGAGAGAAAATTCAGCTGTACTGTTTGCAAACATAAACGTTACTTACCGTTCGTTTTTCCATAAAGTTTGTCAAGAATTCGTCGATGTCGATGCGTCCCTCGAGAAAGTTTTCAGCCGTCTCCTCCGACTCCTCCTCAGCCTGGTGGGCTGCAACTTTTAACCGAGCCTGTAGAGTGCTCAGACTGCAACTCTAAAGGGAGAGAAATACCCCAAAATCAAAGATACTCTCTCTTAAATAGTACTTTCTTTCAACTTTGAGTTTATAAACACTTTGTTACTTCTCTTAATATTTTTTTTGTTTGGACACAGCAACAGTGCAGCAGTGATTTGGATTCAGTAAGTTATAGGGAATGTTCTCAGCTCGAACCTCACCAAATTTCAGCTCTATGAGTGTAAAAGTAGCCAAGTTAAGTCCATTTAAATGTAGCTTTTGTGGCCATCTTGGATTTTTTTTATTTGAATTTAGCATTTATTGGGCATTGCTCTCAGCTACCACCACATCAAATTTCAGAGTGATATCTCTAAAAATGGTTGATTCATAGTATTTTTCCTTTTTAGCTCAGGCGGCCATCTTGGATTTTTGATTTCGGAATCATTATCTTTGCTATCAGAAGATAATCAAAATCTATTAAGGATTGTTTTCAGCTACTATTATACCAAATTTCAGCTAAATAGTTGTAAAAACATCTGAGTTATATTCATTTGAAATTATCTTTGGTAGCCATCTTTGAATTCAGAATGTGTTGTGCATCGCTGTCAGCTACCACCACACCAAATTTTAGCTCAATATCTTTTAAAATAGCTGCGCTATCATTTTTTTTTCCCTTTTAGCTAAGGCGGACATCTTGGATTTTATTTTGCATTAAGAATGTCTAACAAATCCCTCTCAGCTACCATCATTCCAAATTTCAGCTCAATATCTCAAAGACTGACTGAGTTATAGTCAATTTTATGTTTTCTGAGGTAGCTGTGGCAGCCATCTTGAATCAAAATGGCTCCAAAAATTAATCAGTGTTTTGTTCAGGGGCCTCTCCCCTGTAGGTCATGTGACCTCACTGTGTCAGTTAGAAGCTGTGAAGAGTTCTGTCAGGCGTTTTTGTCCTTGTTTGCAAATAACATCGCCATGGTAACTCGAAACGCCAATAAAAGTAACATCACACGTCATGGTGCCGAGCCGGTCATTTTAATATATCTGTGGGTGTACACGTTGTGGTTGGGGCCACATTAAAGTTAATAGAAGAGCATGCCCCTTATCAAGTGGATAATAAAAAGGGGCTGTCGTCTGGCAGTCCCCAACAAGAAAAAAAGATTCTCGACATACGAGTCATGTGAGGTATGAGATGCTTTAATTTAAGCTTTTTTTTGTATTTGAATGCCTAATATAAAGAATAATGACCCATCGGTTACGTCAAGCTTCAACTAAAATTCTGACTCCAATTTTTGGCTATTACTAAAACAACTAAAACACCGTGTTTGAATCATAAAACTTAATAAAATAAAAATGCTTAAGCTTACAAGTGGCTTCAGACCAAAAAATGCATCGGCTTCAAATATTCATTTAAATGTGACGAGTGTGGCCGTTTACCTCACTGAGTTCATGCTGCCTCTGCATCTTTATCTCAAAGGCCGACTTCATCTGAGTCAGCTGTTCATACTATCCACACAACAGACAGAAAACACACACGAGTAACCCGACAATGGTGGGAATGTGTTTGTTATGCTTGTATGAAAGAAAACGCGTAAGAGCTGACCTTGTAGAGCATCTCTTGTCTTTTTCCTTCCAGCTGTGGCTCCATCTGAAGGTTTTTCTCTACAAATGATGACGGGAAACAATACAAGCATCATTAAAGGAATAAACTTTTCGTTGTGACCGACCATGGAGGTCTGCTGTCCAGGGTGGGACGTGACAGAAACTTACTAGCCATCTCCACTATACTGGTGATGAATTCTTCTTTATCACTGGCAACTTGTTTGAGTTGTGGCAGACCCACGAAGAACTCCAGCAACACATCCTCATTTTCAGACATCTCAGACAACTGCGTCAAACTAAGGGGAGGCGACAACAAACACACAACAGCTGGAGAACCACATCAAATATTTAAAACAATGCTACTGATAAATGGTAATTTTCAATGATTTATATTGTGAGTTAATAAGAAAAGATTAAAAACATGTTTGATATTTGGGATACTTTACTTCATGTCACAGAGTTCAGAAAAAGACTCGGGAATCTCTGGCATCTTGTACGTGTGTCCATTCAGCCCCGCCTGAAAGGGACAAAAACAATGCCTTACACTCTTTATACATTTTAAATAGAATGTGATATTCTTCCAGAGATGTGGTACTATTCCAGTACAGGTCATTTATCCTTTATCTAAACAGGTAAATAAAACGGTCAAAAATGCACAATTTGTTTAAATGAACATTAACATTAATGCATGACACGATGCATGATATTTTTAAATTCTGGACTAGGCCTGTCACGATAACAAATTTTGCTGGGCGATTAATTGTCTCAGAAATTATTGCGATAAACGATAATATTGTTTGGAATTTGACAATAATTAGTAATTATTGTCAAATTTAAGAAGAAATGTTGGTTAATTTGTTTTGAGTGTAGTACCTTTTTTCAACCACTGGATAGCAGTGTAAGACTGTTTGAACAGAAGGATGGATAGTGAAGGAGCGAGCAGTGTGTCTCTAAGAAAAATGGGAAGGAGGCCCCTCGATGTGACATGGGTTGTCTCTCTTCGGTTCTCAAAATGGCAGACACTCTGTGTGGTTTGAGCTCTTTAGCATAGCATTTGTCACACAAAGCTTTTAATTAAAAAAAATCAGTAAACAAGTTCTCGGCTTCTTTTTGCAGAGAAAAACAACTTTTTAGACGAAGGCACGGGTTTCAACTGTGAATTTTGAAACTTCGACAAGACGGAGTCCCCCCCCCCCCCCCCAAGGTCAGCCTGTTAGCTTAGCTCGTAGCTTAGCTTCTCAGCTTAGCTGCTTTAAACGACCCAAAAACGGGATTTTGGATGGTTTAAACAGATTTTAAAGAGAAAAGAGAAAGGGAGGGGTCAGTGAAGAGCACCGGAGTTGAGCTTTTTTTCATCCAGTGTCTTCAGTAGAAAGAGAGAGACACGAAGAAACGATAAAGCCGATAAATGAAAATGAGGTCGATAATTTTCGTGTATCATGCGATAAATTGATTTATTGTTTATTGCGACAGGCCTATTCTGGACCCTTCTGTTTTTTTTTTGTTTTTTTTTAATTGATCGACAAGAAAACCACTGCTCTGGAGCAAAAATAACCACCCGTCCCCATTTCTCCAAAACAGTTTCAGAGCTGGTTTAGAGCCAGTGACTAATTTAGAACAAGTTCTGTGTCATCTCAAGTCTGGCTGTGTGCCAGGAAAACTGATGCTGCAGTAGCAAAAACTCTTCTCTGTTACTGCTTACGTCAAAGTCAGGGGATATGGAGACCAACCAGAAAATCCAGAGCAGTGTAGCATCTAATTTGCCTAATTCAAAAAGAAGCAACACAAAACAAATATAGATTCCCCATAAATGTGACACTGAAGAAGACAGACGAGGTTTTAAACACTAAATACATTAGGAGGTTCAGAGATGTACTGGATGAGCTGCTTAAAATGATCTTACAATGTAAAACTGTTGTAGATTTTTGACTGTAGAATTTCAGATTAATCGATCAATCAATCAAAACAGCTCTCAAACAGATCGGACTGGTTTCAGGTCTGAGTACGTACCACTGTGACAAGTCTCAACACACACGACCTTGTTTGTCTACAGGGTTTGGAGCCTGAGCTGAATCCAGGCAGAGACTCAAATGAACAAGCGTTCAACCTAAATCCACCTTGTTTTAAAGTTTAACCCAGTAATGCAAAACGCAGTGAAATTTGTATTGATCGGAACAGAAATCAATATTTTTCAAAAGGGTTTCATAAAGTGGAGGAACCGAACTCCCCCACCCCACGACTGGCAGCACTGATGTAATGCTAAGCTAGTGGCGTGCAATACAGACGCGCTAGCTAAAAAGCTAGGTAGCGCTTCGCTTCCCTCATGCTGAGCCCCCACCCCACCCCCCGGCTTGAAAGAACAAACACACAAACACAGACACCCCTTGGTTCCCCCACCCCTCCATCAACAAAAGTCCTGAAACAGATGAGCGCACTGCCAAGGCAAGTAATGTAGGGGAAACACTACACTGAGAGCTTAAAAAAAGAAAAAATATATATATTTAGAATAATAAAATAAACAAAAATAAATAAATAAAAATAAAATTAAAAGGTATGTTTCTTTGTTTCCAAAACTTAAATTGCATGTGATGCATCTTCTGTTTGTGTAAAAATGGATTTTACCAATTTATTTGTGCACAATAAGTACAAGCTGTGTACCTGTGAGTCTGCAGTAGGCACAGGTACTGCCAGGTCAGTTAACAGTCCATACGCAGGAGCTCGAGGGGGCCCATGAGCAATGTCCACCCCTGGGTGTGTCATGGGGGCGGGGGATGGAGTTGGACCTGAACCTGAAGGCGGTGTCTGACTGGGACCAACATGGCGAGGACCATAATGGAAAGCTTGGGAGGAGTAAGGAGGGATACCTGATGGCTTGTACATACTACAGTTGGAAGAAAATAAAAATATAAAATACATCTCAAAATACCTGTTATATACAGAAAATATATTAAGCAAATAAAACTATGTTTTATGGTGATGTAAGAAAGAAAGTTTTTAAAACTCTCTCAGTGAAAGAGGCTGGACACTCACAACGGAAAGCCTGCAGGTCCAGAGGACATCAAGGCAGGTGGACTTTTCCAGAACTCATCCAGTAGACTCTGAATGACCTTACCCAGATCTGAGTGCATCCCAAACTACAACATTCAGAGGACGGCAAAGAGAAACGTCAGAACATATTGGAGATCACAAAAATGTATTTTCAAAATTTTCACATATGGCAAATATTAATTTAGAGAATACTGGAAGAATTCCTGATGGAGGCATTCATTTGGTTATAATATA